ATTTCCAGAAGGCAAGAAGAACAAGGAGCACAACCCACAATAATTCCCGCACAATAAATCCTTTCACACAATAAATCCGTTCACAATAAATCCTTTTTTCTAAAAGCAGCCTGTACTAAGATTTTAGGTCTCAATTCGTGCATGCATTAGGCACCAACTCCAGGTGATTTCGAGGGAAGACTAAGCCCTGGTTTCTATATTGTTCATTTATGTTCTCCATATTTTTTAAATGTAAAAGAAAGAAGAGCCTATTAGCCTATCTGAGAATGGCTTAAGTTTTGTCTACTGTGGTGGTATACGTGACTTCATACTCTCAAGGATGAAACAAGACTGGCAAAAAGGCAAATCAAAGCTATGAAACACAGTCCAAAAGGCTGATTGTGAGACAGATGCAGAGATACAAACCTCAAAGCCATATTCTGCCCTTACAGAAACGGAATAGCATCCCCACTCCTCAGACTACAGAACAGCAAGAGCTAACCAGTCCAGTGGCTAAAAATGATGTTTTCAGCCTTATTGACATTCCTGTCCTTGCATAAGAACAGCATGACGGGCTGTGAATTGTCTAGATCCCTTCTGAAAGCCCAAAGCTCTCAGCAGTCTGCAGTTGGCACGAGCAACTCTCGGTGTAGGTAACCAATGGCAGATCCCAAAACAGTACCAACAATAAGAGCAGCTGCTGTTGTGCTGTTATGTGGTCCCTAACAGGACCAAAGGAAATAAGGAAAGGTGACATCTCAGGGAGGAAAAGCAACCACCGAAGTAAGCAGAGGTGTTGCCAGTCCTAACTGCAAAAAGGATAGAAAGGGATCAGAACAGAGGATCTGGGAAAACTTGGAAGAAAGAGAAGCTGAATATCTCTCTGAAATATGCCATTCCCAGGATGCCAAGACTTCAAAGATGCCTGTGCATAAATTGGTGAGAGCTTGATGCTGAGGTCTATATTATCACAGCTTAGCTTTGCACTGTTGCATATGCACCCAATAAAGCTTATCTGTCAGAGGATGGACTGTCTTTGTCTCGGTTTCTGACTGATCAGCCACCCACCATCGAAACTTAACACTGTGATAGCACTACAGGAGTCCTTGCTGAATTGGACTACTGCCATGCAGACAGTACAACACCATTGAACCTCTGCCATCTGTAACAGATCTGCAGTAGAGCCCTCTCTATTCACCATCTCATGGAGCGGAAGGTGTTATTTCCGTGTTAGGAAATGCTGCTAAGCTTAAGATTATGTCCTCTTTTCAATTGCTTATTGCCAACATAAGACAATCAGACATTGCACTTGAATAGCCAGGCCACAATACAGGTTTTTGTTTCAAATGCCATAGTCTTCAAGAAGCATGAAAAAGGTCCCAAATACCTTTTTCTAACATAACTGTGTGGTCCCAGATGCATTTCATGATTTATAGGGAACAGGAGCCAACCTGCATGGATTACTTCCAGAAATCTGTGTTGTTCTATCACTTCCAGCAAAGCTGAAGAAGAGAGAAGCATGACAGCACTTGCATGGCTTGCTTTGCTACTATATTCAGTTTTGCAGACCACTATGGTTAATTGGTATCAGTACTCAATTTACCTTGAACGATGAGCAAATTGCAAGAGATTTGTGGGAGACCATCTGTTATCTGAAGAAGGCCATGGTAAATCCCAGAGGGCTGTCTGGACATATTTATACTTCATTTTCTTCTTCTACAGAGAATCCATACCTTACTATCATTTGCTAAGAAAGGAGGAGATTCCTCAAAAAAGATCAGAAACATCTAGACATTTATTGGGAAGATGATTAGACAGGACAGACAACTGGTAACTCCCTAAAAAAATCTGTTACTGATGCCTAAATGTCACGAGTATTGAAAATTACCTTTTTGCAGTGAGGGAAGAAAATGGGTAGACTTCTTAGTTAAAATCACTAACATTAAGGTCCTTAATTAAATATATATGCATAAAGGAAGATGCAGGCAAGGGCTCTAATTTTAGAACTCCATTATCATGGTCGTGGGTACATGTGGCTAAGCAGAGGCAGTAAATCCCAGTCTAATATGAAGTACTAAATCGTTGCCTGCTAAATTGAATTCAAAGAGAATGAGAAAGCACAAAGACGGAGCAATCTGTGTCTAGTTAGTATTACTTGAATAATAGAGTGGCAAGAGAATACAGACACAACCTCAGAGAGGCCAAGAAGCAAAACGGGATGCAAGTAGTGAGAAATATGAAGAGTAGTGAGAAAGCATTCTCTAAACACATGGGGAATAAGAGGAAGACAAGGGAAGAATTTGTTCTCTGTTCAGTGAAAGGGGAAAGCTAATGAAGGTGTTGCCTAGAAAGAGATGCAACACGTAGTATCTCTTTTATATCTGTCATCACGAAAAGGTCAACTAGCGAGCAGGTGGCTAGCACAACTAATACACCTGAAAACGTTCTAGGTAGGAACACCGCAGCAGAAATTTGCTCTTGTTACATCTGCCTGTAGGTCTGTGCAAGGCCACCTTTCTGGGTTTCAGTCTGTCTAGAGCTCTCTTTTTGCTCAGGGCTTAGGGCTGTCCCTAGATTTACTTCAGGATACTGAAAGAAGCAGCTACAGCAATCACCGTCAGCAATTATCGCTCAGGGAAGATATGAGTTATACCAACCATGAAAAAGGGTAAATGCAGTGGCTATCTTTAAAAAGGGGAGGTAACTCTGCTGAGAGTTAGCAACGGGTCACCGTCACTACAGAGAGATAAATCTCAAGGGGTTCTGTAGAGACCTCTCTTGGGTCAAAGATTATTCAATATATCATTATTCACCTAGATAATGAATAAGCAGAAGGATTATTTACAGTGCTTAAAACGCCAGCCTGGGAGGTTAGAGGCAATGCTGGGGGAAGGGACTAGAATTCTAAATCATACAGACAAGTTGGAAAAATGGTCTAAAAACAGAATAAAATTTGAGAAGGAGGAGAGCAAGGCACTACACTTCATCAGGAATAATCAACTGTACATATACAGAGTGGAGAACCGCAGCTTAAGTGGCACTTGTGTAAAGGAGCTAGACAATCA